AGAAGGCGACCAAGCCGGGGTGACGCGGAGGTCGACGAATGCGTGTTTTACGAGAATGCGGCGACGTTAAAATTGAGTGACTGGAGCCGGATATTTCACGAATTGGACCACTTCCTACGACTGGCGCTTGTCGCAATAAATAGATCGCCACAATGTCTTCAGACCAACCCCGCGTTGGTTTACAGCGGGTGTGTGGTCATTGCTCGATGACATACACTGAGAAGCGTGCACAGGACACGAAACCTGCGTCAGTGTTCGGCGTGAAATCGGCTCCAATCACGTGCTTCGTGTACAAGCAATGGCGACTGCCCATGCTACTCAACAGACTTTTGAAATGGGTCCATTGGTGACGAGGATGGGATCGCGACTACGTCTGATGGCCGTGGACGCGACAGGGAGGCCTGCGGGCTTTCTGTCTTCAATGGTTGGAGTGACTGATTGATTACACCAAGGGGACAAGCCCCCCCCCCCCCCCCCGCCTCTTTTTTTTTATGACGGTTATTTATATTGTTTTTTCTTTGCACTGGAGTGCAGCGGGTGCTACAAGCTATCCCAGCGAATGCAACTCAACGCCATGGACAGCACAGATTCCGCGCGCCACTGCGCCCTCCCCAAAGGCCACGTGACACTCGTGCTGCATCGGATTGGCTTGGATATTTCGAAGCTTCCTTTGTGGTCCATCCTCTCGATTGGCTACCAATTCCGAGGTGCTATTCTCCGCCGAAGACGTTGGTCGTCGGCGACGACAGCACCGGAGGCGGCGGCGGTAGCTCAAAGGGCAGGCACGATTCTTTTAGCGTGTTTTGTTATCCTTCGTAAACGGGGAGCGGGAGCGGTCCTAAACAAACCGACAACCGAAAAGACCGTGAAGGGGGGGCAAGCGTCGACCGAGTGAAGCCAAGCCAGACGCCGCCAGCAAAACAAAGACGACACCATCATAAAAAAAAATACAAACAAAAAAATGCGAGCTCTTTCGCTCAAGGTCAGGCCTCCCTGAAGCCAGCCACGTGCTCTACCAGCCCTGCCGACGCGTCGACGGCGCGAGCACGAGTGCAACTCTCAGGGCACCCCCGGGTCGTCCAGCCTTGCCTATGAAACAAGGCGCTGCCTACCTGCCTAGCCCAGCCTAGCTCCACCCCCCTCTATGGCACGTATAACGCGCAACAAGACAAAAGATGTTGGACATCTTATCTCGTTCGAACAGTTTACATGTTTGGACATTTTGTTTTATGGTCTCGGGCTCTGGCAGTCGTAGGGTTGCGTGTTCACGCGTGCACGCGCTTGTCAGCTGATTACCGGCACAAGTCCGACTCGTCGGCCGTTTTGACCTCTTTAGACATTTTTGTTTCGGTAAACATTAACACGTGTCTCACGGAAACTGTAGGGCATTTCTGGCGCGATATACATTTGGGCTCTTTGGACATTTAGACCAGAAGCGCCCCCCAGAACTTATGCGCGAGCACAGAGAGAATTTAAAGCGAAACATGTGCGGGTTGCAAACCGACAAAGAATAACAGCTGAGAAATGACGTCGAGTATAGAGACCACCGAAGGGATACGCGGAAGCTTGAATTCTCGAATTCACAAATAAAAATATACAATTCCTAGAAAGAAAAAGAAAAGAGAAGCTTTCGGGCGTCATGTACTGCTGTCAAGAAATTCCGCGAGCGAGTAGCGCGTCGAGC